AGAATGACACACCTGTCCAGGAAACACATAGAGCCCAATCAAAATGAACCCCAAGAGGCCTACACTAAGAGACACCATAATTAAAATGGCAAAGGTTAAAGATAAAGAGAGAATCTTGAAGGCAGCAAGAGAAAGACAATTAGTTACCTACAAGGGAGCTACCATAATGCTGTCTGCTGATTTCACAACAGAAACATTTCAAGCCAGAATGGATTGGCATGAAGTAGTCAAAATAATGAAAAGCAAGGCCCTACAACCAACACTACTTTACCCAGTAAGGCTATCGTTTAAAATTGAAAGCAAAATAAGGAGATTCCCAGACCAAAAAAAAAAAAAAAAATGCTAAAGGAGTTCATTAACACCAAACCAGTATTGCAAGAAATGTTAAAGGGTCTTCTTTAAGAGAAAAAAATAAAAAATAAAGAGAAAGAGAGGAACATAGCTATAAAGAATAAAACAGCAATAAAAAACATATCTATCAACAATTTAAATGTAAAAACATATTAGATGCTCCAATCAAAAGACATAGAGTAGCTTAATGGATAAAAAACCATGATCCATATGCAGTCTGTAAGAGCACACCTCAGAAAAAAAGATACACACAGACTGAAAGTGAAGAATGGATAAAAAAAATATTCCATGCAAACAGAAACAAAATACAAGCTGGTGTAGCAATACGTATGTCAAAGAAAATAGGCTTCAAAACAAAGGCCATAGCAGGGACCTTACATAATGCTAGGGATCAGTTCAATAGGAGAATATAACCCTTGTAAACATATATGCACCCCACATTGGAAAACCTAAATATGTAAAGGAAATTTTGATGGACATAAAGGAAGAGATCAAGAGCAATACAGTAAGAATAGGGAATTTTAACACCCAGTTGACATCAATGGACAGACCTTCCAGACAAAATATCAACTAGGAAACCATGGCCTCAAATGACACACTAGACCAGGTGGGTTTAATTTATGTTTTCAGAGCATTTCTCCGCAAAGCAGCAGAATATACATTCTTTTCAAGTGCACATGGAATGTTCTCTAAGATAGACTACTTGTTAAGATACAAAACAAGTCTTAATAAATTCAAGAAGTTTGAAAACATATCAAATGTCTTCTTGGACCACAAATTATGAAACTAGAAATCAGTTACCAAAAAAAAAAAAAAAAAAAAATCTGAAACACAAACACATGGAGACTAAATAACATCTTACTAAACAATGAATGAATCAACAATGGCATCAAGGAAGAAATGAAATGTTACCTTGAGACAAATGAAAATGAACACACAACAACCCCAAATCTATGGGACACAGCAAAAGCAGTTCTGAGATGGAAATTCATAGCAATACAGGCATACTTCAAGGAGCAAGGAAAATCTCAAATAAACAATCTAAACTTACACCTAAAATAACTAGAATAGGAACAACAAACAAAGCCTAAAGTAGAAGGAAAGAAATAATAAAGAATAGAGTGAAAATAAATGGCATAGAGACTAACAAAACAACACATAAGATTAATGAAACCAAGAGCTGATTCTTTGAAAAGGCAAACAAGATTGACCAGCCTTTAATCAGACTCATAAAGGAAAAAAAGAGAAAACCCAAAAAATAAAATCAGAAACAAATGTGGGAAAGTTATAACTGACACCACAGAAATACAAAGGAGTGTATGAAAATATTACAAACTACTATCTGCCCAAAAATTGGACAACCTGGATGAAATGGATAAATTCTTAGAAATATATAATCTTCCAAAACTGAATCAGGAAGAATCAGAAAATTTGAGTAGACCGATTAGAACAAATGGAACTACATCAGACTAAGGAAAGGAAATCACAAACAAAATAAAAAGACAACCCACTGAATGGGAGAACGTATTCACCAGTGATACATTTGATAAAAAGTTAATATCCAAAATTTATGAAGAACTTATAAAACTCAACATCCAAGAACCAAACAATCCAATTAAAAAATGGGCAAAGGACCTGACTAGATGCTTCTCACAAGAAGATTGCCAATAGACATTTGGAAAGATGCTTAACATCACTAATCACCAGCGAAATGCAAATTGAAACCATAATGAGATATCACCTCACACCTGCCATAATGGCTATCATCAGTAAGTCAATAAACAACAAGTGTTTGTGAAAATGTGGAGAAAAAGGAACTGTTGTTCGCTGTTAGTGGGAATGCAGATTATTGCAGCCACTATAGAAAAGAATATAGAGATTTCTCAAAATATTAAAATTTTAACTGCCTTTTGATTCGCGATTCCACTTCTGGTAATATATTTGAAGAAACAAGAAACTCTGATTTAAAAAATATAGGCACCTATATATTAATTGTTGCGCTATTTACAATAGCCAAGATTTGGAAGCAGCTCAAGTGTCTATCATTAGATGAGTGGATAACAGTCTTTGGTACATTTACACAAGGGAACACTGCATGGTCATAAAAAATAAGGTAATTTTACCTTTTGTGACAGCATGGATGTACCTAGAAGGTATTATGCTAAGTGAATTAAGCCAGTATGCAGCTGTAAAAAAGAAGGATCTCTCACCCTTTGGGACAGAAAGAATGGACCTGGAGAATATTATGCTAAGCAAAATAAGCCAGTCCAAGAAAGATAAATATCACACGATCTCACCTATATGTGGAATCTAAGGAACAAAATAAATTGACAAACAAGATAGGAGCACAGACATGGAAGCATGAAACAGAGTGACAGAGCTCAGAGGGAAGGCAGAAAGGAGGGTGGGAAGATGGGAAGGAGGACAGGAAGATATTGACCAAAGAACTTTTAAGCATATATGTACAGTCCATGGACACAGAGAATAGACAGGAGGACTGGGGAGGGGTGGAAGATGGGGGAAGGGGGATAAAGGGGAGAAAATGGGGGACATCTGTAATACTTTCAACAATAAAATAAATCTTAAAAAAAAAAAAGAAATAAGCCCATGAGAGAAAGGTAAATGCCATATGATTTCACTCATATGTGGAATGTAATGAACAAAATAAACAAATGAAGAAAATAGAAACAGGATGATAGATACAGAGACCAGACTGACAGCTGTTAGTGCAGAGAGGTTTTGGGGCCTGGATGAAATAGGTGAAGTGATTAAGCAAAAATAGAAACAGAAAAGAGCATGGTGATTACCAAAGGGAAAGTGGGGTGGCATCATTTAGAAAAAGGTAAAGGGGGATAAATGGTGACAGAAGGAGACTGACTTTGAGTTGTGAACACACAGTACAATATACAGATGCTGTATTATGGAATTATACATATGAAACCTATATAATTTTATTAGCCAATATGACCACAATAAATTCAATAAAAAATTTATATAAGGGATTAAGATATAGCCTGGCAAAATTTTCAAATTTAAAGAAAAAGTCCTACAACAGTGAATTGGGTAAAGTGCGTCACCTTCAAATGAACTAAACTCAGCTTGGCCACAGTTATTTTCCTCTACAGAACAAAATATTAGAAAATAACGGAGTCATAGCATAATCATATAGTCTCCATCATCATCATCATCATCATCATCACTAACATTTACTGAGCACCTAGTTGAACTCTAAGCACTTTTATCATCCAAAACCTTAGGAGGTATATATTATTGTTGGTCCATTTTACACATAAGGAATGGTATACAGGGAGGTTGGCTTGCCCATTTTCAATAACGGAGCTGAAATTCAAACCCAAGCAGCATGATTTCCCAAGGCCATATTTTTGCTGCTTATATCTTCAGAGCTTTAAAAGGAAAAAAAAAAATTGTGATGCAGAGAGCTTACCATTGATGTGTGCCACAGTTTAGAAAATATGCCTCCCATCTATGTGTTTATATAACTTCTCAAAGTCTTCCTCAATTACCAAGCTTTTAATCACAACAGGAAATTACATAAGAAACGGACTGGTGGTAGGCATCAAACTACCTAAAACCTTAGAACTAAGAGTTTAAAAGAAATAACCTCTTGAAATAACCTCTAATAGAGGAGTCTAAATAACAGATTTTACTTGGGTAAAAAATGCTAAGGCCAAAGCAATTTTATATGACACATTTTTAGAAAGAAGCCAGACCTGTTCATGAGGCCACCTGTTGACTATCATTGTCAATTTGGACCTGTCTGGCTTATGGGAGTGTCCACCAAAGTAATTGGCTTATATTCACCACCAACAGGAATCCCCAGTTTGAGGTGCATTAAAGAAGGAAACAGCAAACAGCTGAATTGTGATATAGCACAGCTGTGGAACAGCTTAATGATATAGCATGGCTGTGAAAAGAGCACTGCTGTTAGGAAACCATGAGGTAAGGAAGCCCTGGGGCCATGCTTCGCTCCAACAGGACAACAGTACTCTGCTCCTCACTGATTTTCTCTGCTCTACTCTCTGACCTCTGCTCTGACCTGCACTGGTCTGCTCCCCTGTGCTCTGGGGTGACATCTTTGGTGTTTCAGCTCCAGCCAAGGAAACACAGTCTTCAGTCTTTGGTGGAAAGGGAAAATGCTCTCAGAGTAGGGGAACTGACATATAAACAGAAGTCCTCCTCCCTGGTCCCCGATTCATTTCTCCTTATGCAAACAAGGACTCTGAATTCTCACAGTTTAATTGCTCCAAAAAGCACTGTCCTGATTGGTTGGAGTGGAGCTGCTCTGATTGATCAGTGAAGAAGCTAGTGGCATATAGCTATGCAGCTCTGACTGGATGGGGAAAGCCTCAGTCCTACTAGTGCAGGAAGGCTGTTCAGTGCAGAAGGAAGGCATCTTAGTGCAGGCTTCTCCCTGAACTGTAGTTTTTGTGAGAGGTCCCTGTATAGAAATTGATGCTAGCAATTTGAGGCCAGTTGGACCCCCAGGACCCCTTGTTAGCAGGTATCCACTTTCTTAGAGTCATATGGAGGAATTAGGTTGCAGTTCCTGATGGTGTCCTCTCTGGCCCTGGCTATTTCTTCCTGTATTATACCTTACTTCTCAGTTCCATTTTATTTTTGTCTTTCAGGTGAAACTAAGATTTGCTTCAAATACTACCATGGAGTGAGTGGAGCCTTGAGAGCTACCACCCCAAGTGTCACAGTAAAAAACTCAGCAGCTCCTGTAAGTCTCATTCCTTTCTCTTTAGTCAGACCTAACTCTGTGCTTCTTTACTTTTCCATGTGCTATTGTATTTGTATGTGTGTGTGTATGTACATGCATCTCAAAATAATAAAGAGGAATGAGATCTGAAGACAATCGTATTAAAATGCATACCACTTTTTGTTAAAGAAATGTTAGAGAAGCTTCGGTAGAGAGCCAGATGTTTCTAATAATCTCATGCTTAATCACAGTGAATAATAAATCTTTCTTTGGAACATATTTTTAAATTTCTTGCTCTCAAATATTTACATTTTCATATGCTTTAATTTCTTTTTATGCTTATAATTAAATGACTGATTTTAGTCAGAATTATAAAATGGTAGGCCTAGAAAAGACTAAAATCTCTGGTTCTTTTTATTTATTTATATAAATTAGGAAACTGTTCAAAGAGCTTAAGTACTTAAGGACACACACTTAGCTAATTGCAGATTAGGGTTTAAAACTATGTCTTTTGTTCCTTATTCTGTGGCTTTGATCAGTAATATAGTAATAGCATCTTTTCCTAAGTTAGTCTAGTGCTTTTTACCTTAGATGAAATGTCATTTCTATCCTTTTTGCATGAATTAAAAATTAGTTAATGGGGGAGACTGAATAAAAAACAGTGAAAACTATGTCATGCTAGTATAAGTTAAAAAAAGATGTTTTTTTCCCTATTGGGGAGGGGGAGTGTACTTGAAATGAAATATGAATGATCAGAAAGTACTTTGGCTTGAAAAGATACCATTTTTCTCTCTTACAAATCAGTTCTTCAATGTGCCTAAGATGAGCAAGTTGAGTCCTTGGTGACAGTAGCTTCAAGCCCGAAGCCAATTTGCCTCCATCCTGAGTAGAGCAGAACTGGACACTGACTTGGGGCAGGAGATGGGGAGGAGCATCAGGGCTTACTTTGAGCAGACACACAGCATGGGGTCAGGGATAACAAGAGGGACCATGTGCACTTTTGATTGCTGTACCACTTTCTGTACACTAGCCATTTAGGTTGAAAAGTAATGTCATTTTACTGGCTGGGACAAAACTCGTGTGTGGGAATTTGCCAGAATCATTCTTCTAGGCTCATTCATATAGGCCATCCTCAAAAGAGGGTACCTGGAAAAGCCTAAGAGGTCCTGATACATGTAGCCAATTGTGAAAGCATGGGGATCAGTTAAACCGAAGCAGCAAGGCTGGAGATGGTGCTGAATTAAACCAGAGATAAGGTAAAAGGCATTGAACACAAAGCAGACAGAGAAGGAAGGAGTCTAGAAGTGGAGTTGAGCCAATTTAGAGAAAGTTTTCTAGATGCAAGCTTGGCTGGCTTTTGCCATGGAAGTAAGTCATGTGATATGGGGCTGCTGATGCCTGAAACAATGGCTTATGTCTAAGAAGAGGAAACACCATATGAGGTGCTTTGATCATATTATTCAGGAGATTGCATTGATTCTGTGTCAGCACTCACCCCACCCCATTTTTGTGTCCCATGTGTACTGCCATTGCTTATACTTAAAACTTAGACATCTTGAAATAATTTGACATGTTGCTGTTCTGATTATCATCTTCACAATGATTTTCTCACATAAATCAGTAGACACTTCAGTGGACACTTTAATGTACATTCTACTTTTTAATAAATTTATCTTTATTGTTGAAAGAATTACAGNAAGCCAATTTGCCTCCATCCTGAGTAGAGCAGAACTGGACACTGACTTGGGGCAGGAGATGGGGAGGAGCATCAGGGCTTACTTTGAGCAGACACACAGCATGGGGTCAGGGATAACAAGAGGGACCATGTGCACTTTTGATTGCTGTACCACTTTCTGTACACTAGCCATTTAGGTTGAAAAGTAATGTCATTTTACTGGCTGGGACAAAACTCGTGTGTGGGAATTTGCCAGAATCATTCTTCTAGGCTCATTCATATAGGCCATCCTCAAAAGAGGGTACCTGGAAAAGCCTAAGAGGTCCTGATACATGTAGCCAATTGTGAAAGCATGGGGATCAGTTAAACCGAAGCAGCAAGGCTGGAGATGGTGCTGAATTAAACCAGAGATAAGGTAAAAGGCATTGAACACAAAGCAGACAGAGAAGGAAGGAGTCTAGAAGTGGAGTTGAGCCAATTTAGAGAAAGTTTTCTAGATGCAAGCTTGGCTGGCTTTTGCCATGGAAGTAAGTCATGTGATATGGGGCTGCTGATGCCTGAAACAATGGCTTATGTCTAAGAAGAGGAAACACCATATGAGGTGCTTTGATCATATTATTCAGGAGATTGCATTGATTCTGTGTCAGCACTCACCCCACCCCATTTTTGTGTCCCATGTGTACTGCCATTGCTTATACTTAAAACTTAGACATCTTGAAATAATTTGACATGTTGCTGTTCTGATTATCATCTTCACAATGATTTTCTCACATAAATCAGTAGACACTTCAGTGGACACTTTAATGTACATTCTACTTTTTAATAAATTTATCTTTATTGTTGAAAGAATTACAGATATCCCCTTTTTCCTCTGATTGACTCTTTCTATCCTGCACCCACCCCCAACCCCAGGCCTTCACCACACTATTGTCTGTGTCCATGGGTTATGCATTTATGCATATAAATTCTTTGGTTAATCTCTCCCCACCCACTCCCCACCCTCGCCTTCCCTCTGAGATTCTTCAGTCTGTTCCATGCTTCTGTGTCTCTGGATCTATTTTGTTCATCAGTTAATTTTGTTCTTTAGATTCCACATATAAGTGAGATCATGTGATATTTCTACTTTTGTTTCTCTTATTACTCCTCATGCATATGAGAGCTAATTCATAAAGCCCATGTGACGCCAGGGGTGACAGAATAGTCATCCCATTTCCTCACTGGAGATGAGCACTTAGAGTCCTGTGGTAGAAGGGAACATGAATTTTCCTGCAAGAAAGTATTTTAATGTGCAGTTGGGTTTTACAGTAAACTTTTAGTGGTCCTTATTGTTCTAAACCATGGTTCACTTTTCAAAGGAGTTTTACTTGCATTATTCTAATTGATTCACAGCACATTTGTGAGACAGGCAGGAACTATCAATTTGGTTAAGTGACCACTTGGCTAGAAGGCAATGGAACCAAACCAAACCTAGATTATATTTTTTGCAACTCAGTTCAGTTACTGCTATATACTAGCAACCTTCTGGGTTAAATAAACCTATGCAGTTTGATCTGGGACTTCAACACACTGTTTCTAAGGGAAAATGCTATTCAAGTGTCCAAAAATTAATTTATCAATACATTTGAGTATCTGCTTTTATTTCTTTTTAATTTTTTATTTCTTTTTTTTTTAATTCAAAATATTACAGATGTCCCCCTTTTTCCCCATTGACCCCTTCCACCTACTTCCCACCCCAGGCCTTCACCACACTATTGTCTGTGTCTATGGATTATGCATATATGCATGTAAATTATTTGGTTGATCTCTGTTTTAAAATTGAGGATTGCTGGTGCTACAGTAATGTCTTATGAAGAGCTGGTTGTCTATGGCTATTATATTATGTCCCAAAAGTCACTGAGTAGGTTTGTGACAATATACTAAAACTGTAATTTTTGAAAAGGGGGGATGAGATATCAAATGCTCCCTTAGTATAACCAGTACTTTAATGATTTGAGCTTAGCAGGTTATCAATATGTATTAGTTCTTTTTCTCATTTCCTCATTCTGTCTTATCCTTTTTCCTACTGATATCTATTGAGGTCCCTGTTATAAAAGGAGATTGTCATCTATCCTCATCTTTCCAGGACTCTTACTTATTTTAGTCTTTAAAAAAATTACAGATATTTATTTTATCAAACAAAACACTGAACATTTTTAGCATCAGATTATTTAGTTTCTTCATTTCACTTGTAATATATGAAAATATTGTCACCACCCTTCTATGACTGATATTGTCCCATGTTATCCTTTCATTAGCTATACTTTGCTGGAGTTGGTCATGTACTTTAAAAATTTCAGGTCGCAGACTCTTCACTTTCATTATGACTATACTCTAGGAAACCACAGACTCTACATTTAACGTATATCCCTTCTTGTATTAGGCAAAAGCATATATTTCTTGGCAGGAAGGACCATATTTTCTTTTGCCATTAAGCCCATGTTTTCAAACTCTATTCATTTAGTACTCCTTCAAATTTTACTAAGTCTCTATTATATGCAGATTACTCTATTAGACATGGAAGGATGCAAAGACGAGTAGAATATAATTGCCTTTAAATAATTTGTAGTCCAATGGAGAGATGATGCATGCACATTGATGAATAAAATTCAAGGCAGAGTGTGATGGGACCTAATAGTCTTCATTCCAGTTAAACTGCTCCTTCTTCTACATCTCACTAATCAACCAACACCGCCACGTTCCCTTGAGTAGAAAGAGGGAAAAAACACTTTCCTGTTCTGGGTAAGACTGTGGCAGAGAAAGTTTACATGGTAAAGCCTCCTTCAGGGCCATGAGCATAGAGTCTTGAGGTATCCATAAGTTGACTCTACCAGTAACTTTCTGTAATGCTTTTTTTCTCTCCTAAACATGTTTTGATTTTTAAAACCATTTTCTTTTCCTCAGCCCTTATGGGACTAATTTTTTGTTGTTGAATTTATTGCGGTGACATTGGTTCTCAAAACCATACAGGTTTCAAGTGTACAACTCAACAAAACACCATCTGCATACTGCATCATGAGTTCATCACCCAAAGAAAAGTCTCTTTTCCTTCCAATTTATCCCCTCTTTTCCCATCACAATGTCCACCCACCACCCTTTTGCTCTGGATATCACCACACTGTTGCCTGTGTCTATGTGAAAATATATATTTTTTCTTCCATAATCACTTCACCTTCTTTCATCCAGGCCCCCAATACCCCTTCCCTCTGACAGCCGTCAGAGGCAGGCATGTATCCGTGCCTCTGTTTCTATTTTGTCATTTTATTTGGTTCATTACATTCCACATATAGGTGAGATTATATGGCATTTT